ATTAAATGTTGTTCTTTGGGATTGCCTGATGTTGCAGTTTGTAGGCCTTGCGCGACTGTATGATGTGTGTTCAGTGCTTATGTTGATTCATGTCCATTCATAGGTTCATGTCAATTTCGGGGTTTGTGAAAAATAAACGAGTTTCTGGACACATGAGATGGGGTATCGCATTCGGGCCAAGATGTAAATCACTTCCATCTGGAATGTGCAGATATTTACTCAGCAACATTCTAAATCTTGACCCTGGAAACCTTAACCCTTCAGCCAATATAAAAAAAAAAATAAATAAATAAATAATTAAATATATATATATATATGTGTGTGTGTGCGTTGTTTCATGGCATTGGCCCAGCCCACCGCCCCTGATGAGCGGTTTGGTTTCGATGAAACCTAGCAAGTTTCACAAGCCCCCTGATTCTACACAGCCCCAGGGTTTCAGCATAGATCATGGCAGTTTCATTATATTCCTGTGATTCCTGTATGTTGCATGTTTTCTGATTTCTATTGAAACGAGGCTCCCAGAGACGGTCTCAGACGGTCTGAGACGGTCTCCAGCTCTCCTTCAGCCTTAAAGCCTAGCTTTATGAGATTTTCTGCGAGCCGCAGACTGGAAAGCATCATATTTTGGTTTCCTGCTTTAATCCTCACTTAATCCTCAGTTTGGAACTTCGCCCAATCCTCATTCCTCATTTTTCCGGAACCTCACCAAATCCTCATTCCTCATTTAGTCCTGATTTTGGAATCTCACCAAATCCTGATTCTTCATTTAATCCTTAGTCTGGAACCTCACCAATCCTCGTTCTCTCACCAAATCTTAGTCCCTCATTGAATCCTCCCTCATTGAATTCTCTTGCCTAGAATCTCACCAAATCCCCATCCCTCATCTAATCTTCATTCTAGAACCTCATGAAATCGTCATTCCTCAATTGATTAATCTTCTTTCTTGAACCTCATGTAACATCCTCATCATGTATGCTTCACTATCCTCATTTCTCATTGAATCTGGATTCTGAAATTTCAAAACGCCATCACGCATTCCGTATGAATTTTGATTGTAAGTATTCACAATATATTCTATATATCATATTTCTCATGATTTTATGATTTACATCATGTTTTTAAATTTTAACATCAAAAAATATGATGACCCATGGTAGCAAAAAAAATGTGTGCTGAAACCGTCGAGACCGTTTCCTACTGTAAAAGTCATTAGGGTCAGAAACCGTCGCGACCGTTTCACACTAAACCATCCAAAAAAGTCGAAAAAACGGATATAGTCTGAGACCGTCTGAGACCGTCTGAGACCGTCTCTGAAAAAGGCCCCGACATGTTATAGTATGAAACCGTCGAGACCGTTTCAGACTATCCCAAATCGTACTATCATGATACAGTCGGAAACCGTCAAAACCGTTTCTACAAACACCATTTTCGTGACATTGATAATACATACATACATACATACATACATACATACATATATATATATATATTGTTTTTTCATTGTTTTTCACATTGTTTTCGGGGTGTGCATTGCAGTCACGAATCATGAATCATGAATGTGAATTTGATTTTATGCCTATGTTTAATTATACTATTTGTAACCTTTCACAATCATCACCATCCCATACCATACTATGAAAACAACATGATTACAATATGATCTCTCAATACAAGTGGCCTATTTTCCCCCTGAAATCTCCATATAGTTTCTATATAGTTTCTATAAAATTCCATATGGTTCCCATATAGTCTCAACTGCCAAAAATGCCCACAGACAAAGAGACCACACTTGGTTACAAGCTTTTGCCATAATTAAAAAAATCGCTTTGCTTTGGCAAGCTCCTGGGCGACCACAAGAACTTTTGTTGCCGCGTGGAAACGCTGGCCTAGTATTGGGCCAAGACCTTTTCTTTCCACCTTGCATGTTCGACCACAAGCCCAGTCGAGCCTAAAATAAAGCTGAATGCATCCGACCGAATTGATGTCCACTGCATCCGTTGGCCTTTGTACTTGATGTCATGCCGAACGAATTGCATTGTCAGATTTTGCTCTTGTCATCAATCTGTGCAACACTGAGGTGAGTACGGACCAAAACCCTATGGAAGGAAGGCTGTGCGTCGGGTTTGGGTTGTTTTGTTGTTTTGTTTTCTAACTAGTTAACTTAACGGCATCCCTTACTAGACTGTACATAGCTAGGGTTTGCAGCTTCACCCCATGTATAGTGTTTCACTGCACGGGGGGTGTTGATGCACAGTCTGTACATACATTTACCCTTTTATCACCTCATATGCTGTGTTGCCATGGCTCAAGAAATAGTGCGTAACTGCTTACTGGGTTTTGTGGCTGTTGTAGGCTTTTACATTATTTCTACACCAAATAAAGGGTTAACCCAACCCAAGACAAAGCCAAAATCCAAACCTAAAAGACAAATGATTTTTCGACGAATTCCGAATCAAACCTTGAACCGATTTTAGATAAAAGTTTGCACCAACTTTAAGCCAACCAGCAATAAACCACTGACCCAACGAATCAACCCTAAACCAAACCGAAAGAAAACTTAAGCACATTTTAAACCAAACACTAAGCACGCCAGAAATAACACCCGAAAAAAATGCTAAATAAGCATTGCGCCAACATTATATAAATAAATCCGGAGTAAACTTTAAGCTAACATTACGCCCACTCAAACTAAACCCAAAATCAATTTAAACTACAATTTCGAAGCGGTCTTGGAACACAACCCTAAACCAAATCTGAATCTAAACAAAACCTTGACACCAAACCTAAACCAACCCTGAACATATCTTAAAAGATAAGAAACATTCCAAAATACCTTCACCCAAGCCGAAACAAATCCTACAGCAACCCTAACACCATGCTATTTGAACCAACCTTAAAACTAAGCGGACTCCTAGCTAAACCGCAAACTAACCTTAAACAACATATTGCACCAACACTGAATTGACGCCAAACAAGCGCTACACAAACACCATTTATAAACCAACTTTAGACCGACCTGGAATAACTAACCCAACCCACGATACCGATACCCTTAACCAACCCCAAGCACACACCACAGCAGCCCCCAACAACACTTCTAGCTGAACCAACCCCAGATTGTTGCTAGCTCCAAAAATTTCCGATTCCGGCCAAAAAAAAGTTTCTAGCTCCACATGACTTACCATCAGTTTCTTGCTCCAAAATGCTGCAATTACCGTAGAAAATGTTGCACATATTGTCGAAATGGCAGCTTCGAGGTTTAACATGCTGCAAATAGCGAGGGAATTGATGCGGCATTGAAGGGGAAACAAATTCCTCTGGAAGGGGGATAAAATCCTTGGCGCAAACCGGGCCCTTCCCAAGGTCTTGTCTCCCATTGCCTCCCATTGTCTCTCATTGTCTCCCCGCATGTGTGCCTGTGTTGGATGGTGTCTCCGCGTTTCCGAGGTCTTGTCTCCCCTTGTGTCCCTTCTTGCGTTTCCGAGGCCTTGTCTCCCCTTGTCTCCCTTCTTGTTTCCCTTTGTTGGATGGTGTGTCTGCCTTCCCGAGGTCTTTTCTCCCCTTGTCTCCCCTTGTCTCCTATTGTCTCCCATTGTCTCGCCACATGTGTGCCTGTGTTGGATGGTGTGTCCGCCTTCAATGCCTTCTTGTCTCCCTTTGTTGGATGGTATGTCCGCCTTCCCGAGGTCTTGTCTCCCCTTGTCTCTCATTGTCTCCCATTGTGTCCTGTCCCAGTCCCATTGTCTCCGCACATGTGCGCCCGTGTTGGAAGGTGTGCTTGCTCGCCTTCCCGAGGTCTTGTCTCCCCTTGTCTCCCCACAAATGTGTGCCTGTGTTGGATGGTGTGTTCGCCGTCCCGAGGTCTTGCCTCCCTTGTCTCCTATTTTATGCCATTGTCCTCCCATTGGACGGTGTCTACGCCTTTCCGAGGTCTTGTCTCCCCTTGTGTCCCTTCTTGTTTCCCCTTTGTTGGATGGTGTGTCTTCCCGAGGCCTTGTCTCCCTTGTCTCCCAGCTTGTCTCCCAGCTTGCCTTTGAGCTTGTCTCCCAGCTTGTCTCCCAGCTTGCCTTTGAGCTTGTCTCCCAGCTTGTCTCCCAGCTTGTATCCCAGGTTGTCAGGTTGGCTTCCTTCTTGTTTCCCTTTGGTGTCCTTGCTTGTTTCCATTCTTGTTTCCCTTTCTTGGATGGTGTGTGCGTCTTCCCGAGGCCTTGTCTCCCAGCTTGTCTCCCAGCTTGTCTTTGTTCTTGTTTCCCTTTGTTGGATGGTGTGTCTGCCTTCCCGAGGCCTTGTCTCCCTGGTCTCCCAGCTTGTCGCCCAGCTTGTCTCCCTTCTTGTTTCCCTTTGTTGGATGGTGCGCCCACCTTCCCGAGGTCTTGTCTCCCTGGTCTCCCAGCTTGTCGCCCAGCTTGTCTCCCTTCTTGTTTCCCTTTGTTGGATGGTGTGCCCACCGTCCCGAGGTCTTGTCTCCCTTGTTTCCCAGCGTGTCTTCCAGCGTGTCTCCCAGCTTGTCTTCCTTCTTGTTTCCCTTTGTTGGATGGTGTGCATGTCCTTCCCGAGGCCTTGTCTCCCTTGTCTCCCAGCTTGTCTCCCAGCTTGTCTCTCCCAAGTCTCCCAGCTAAAATTATCGCACGCTGAGAGTTGCGCAGACTCTAAAGTTCACAGAGCTCCGGGATTGAGAATGATGTTATCTTTCATTTCGTCCTTTGATGTTTTCAACACATCCAATTTGACAGTCTTATGGTGCTTGTTTCGAGCGTTTGGATCCAAATAGTTGGACCCCATCGGATGTTTCTTTCATCGTTTTTTGGCATCTAGCGTTGCAACAAAGCAAGCGAAGCCGAACAAAATAAAAGTATATAAAGTGGTCTCTGGCAACATTTTCCTGTCGCTGCTATTTCATGTGTTTGACCCTGTTCCCCAAATCACTTCTTGAATCCACCCACTGTTTGGGGTCTACAGTGGTGTAATTGACTTAGTTAACCAGGGTCCAAGCAGCCCAGGTGGTCGCAAAGTCCAGGACCAGAATATGGCACCCAACAGGATGCTGGGCAAATTGAAACGATGAAGCGCGCTTTGTGGTTGGATTGGTCAGCAATGTGTAGAGGTTGAACATCTTCCAACCTGCTTGATCAAACAGCACCTGGCTTTCGATATGCAGGTCAGGTATGGTCAGGTACTGGGAGGTTGTCTTGGTTCTTTTGCCATGATCAAACCATAGCTGCCGCTTTGAGGAGATGACGGGGCAGACAAGGGCTATGATAACGCGAAGGCTGGTGACAGTTTCGGCATGGTGGGTGCCTAGGAACTACCTGGAACTGCCATGGTGCACATCGCCAAGCTTCCCGGACTTCCCGCATTCCTCGCTGTCTCCTTGAGTCAATAGGTGCATTGGATAGTAGGTGTCCAGATGGTCCAGATAGGGCATCAGGTGCTGATTTGAGTTTGGTTGCTGCGCCGCAGGAATCTGAACAAGATCTCCTTTCAAGAGCCCTTCAATGAGATGACGGATTGGCGACATGAGGAGCGGTCAAGTTTGATTTGGGGATGCGTCAAGACCTTCGGGACCAAAGGAACCGACTGATGAAACACCCAATGAAACAACACAACACCTATAAATATATATATATATATTTGATGTGAAAGCGCAGGTTTTGACCCCTATGATGCCTAGCACTACTTTGCCTAAACCCAATGGTGTACAGTTTACAGTATCATATAATATATTTTGATATATTTTGTATTCAACTATACAAATATGCATGGCCGTTTGACATGGGTTTGACATACTTGGACCAACTTCACTTCCAAATGTGCGGATTGGCCGGTCCTGGGGTTCCAGGCTGTACCATCGGCATATGATGAATATAATGAGTATGATGAACCAGATGCTGAATCACGGTCTGGACAGCTGGAGATTGCGTTGTTGAGGTGCGGGCCGCGCGAGTTTTCTTTGAGATTGGTCCGAGTTGTATCGCAAAAGCAGAGCCATGAAAATGACAAATGTGTCGTTGACGCCCCCAAAAACACTGGTTTAGTTTTGCCGGCAGGTGGCCACTATTGGTTGAAAGCCTCCTGCGGCGAAGACGTGCAGAAATGTTGGAGAATGGGCGGATGCTTTTGGACAGGGCCCGTCACGGTGTTGATATCAAGCAGGTTTTGAGAGCAGAAGTTGAGACTCAGCTGAGGGATTCCAGGGTATTGAAAGGTATCGAAAGAAGGGGTGGCCTGACTTTCTGATAGTTACCATTATAAACTATCCCCAATTTTCAGCCATGGGATGGTGACTATGGCAGCCAGTGGGCCCCCTTTGCTTGTTGGGTGGCTGCAGGGCTGATGGCATCTGATGGCTGCTGATGCTGAGGAGAGTGTATCGTCAATTCTTCTCCGAGAGCCAGAATGGTGCGTAGAATTCGAATACCTCGCTCGCCGCTACAGCGAGTGCGGGCCTCAGCACGAATTTTGATGCATGAATTGTGAGGCATTTTGCTTTTTTTCCAACAAGGATGTTTTTTCATTTGTGAAGATGTTGTGGCTGGTTTAGTAACGGAGGTGCCTGCGAAACGCCTCGACACTGAGAGAGCCTGGATTCACTGAGATGGATATCCACTAGACAAAAATCGATAGATGTAGGATGAATTAGGATTCAGCGCTGGTAGTTTCAGATGCGCTGTAGCTTAAAAGGCTTACCGTCTTGAGACTGCCAATGTAGCAGCATCAAGTCCGCCCACTATGAGATCAATTGATCAACCTGTTGTGCTGCCCTCCCTTATTCATTGTGATCATTCGGAGGTAGTCTTGTGCAGATTGTTTCCATGTTGTCAGCTCTGTCGTTTCATGTCACGGAGGGCGGAATTTGATGTTGGCACTTGCTGTGCAGGGATGCCTGTGCAGTGCAGCTCACACTTACGGGGAGTACACTGAGGACATTGGTAAACAAACGTAGCGACAAAAACTCACGTAAAACGATAGGTTTTCCCAGGTTAGTTATGTGTAAAATGGCCATATCCCAATGATGGCCAGGTTAGCAGCGTCCTCCTTTTGATAAATCTATGTTATACGTGCGATGGAGAACAACATGTGCTGTACAATGATAGCCAGGTCAATGGGCTTCCTTCCATGTTGGAAACCTTGAATGCTGTAAAATGATAGCCAGGTTAGTGGGCTTCCTTCCATGTTGGAAACCTTGAATGCTGTAAAATGATTCCCTGGGGGAAGGGGGGGTACGGCCTGTGGCCACCACTGGGTAGGCCAATGGCCAACCTAGCTATGGGGAACATGTGTTTTTTTCATTTTACGGGGACTAAGTTCCTCAAAATCACCACCAAATGGCTTCTCGTCCAGATCGGGCCCCAAAATGCATTTTGAATAGAGCCGTGCTATTGAAATTGAACCAAAAAACGGCTATGAAAGTCAATTCTTGTGTTTGGGTTCCTGGTAGAATGTTCCACTGTGGTCCATGGTGGCCACAGGCGGTACCCCGTTTCCCCCAGGGACCACAGTGGAGCATTTTACCAGGAACGCAAGAATTGATTTTCATAGCCGTTTTCACGAAAGGTAGCGTCAGCTACCTGAGTTCTCCGTGCTTCAGCACAATCATAGGGGGTATTGGGGGGCCCTAATTCTCCCCAGCCCCGTTAAACTTCTACATTCATTGAAGATCTTCAATGAGGGTTTAATTCTCCCACCCCCGTTAAACTTCTACATTCATTGACAATCATCTTCAATGAGGGTTCAATTCTCCCAGCCCCGTTAAACTTCTACATTCATTGACGATCTTCAATAAGGGTTTAATTCTCCCAGCCCCGTTAAACTTCTACATTCTTTGAAGACCTTCAATAAGGGTTTCTCCCCAGCCCCGTTAAACTTCTACATTCATCGAAGATTTTCAATGAGGGTTTAATTCTCCCAGCCCCGTTAAACTTCTACATTCATGAAGATCTTCAATAAGGGTTTAATTCTCCCACCCCCGTTAAACTTCTACATTCATCGATCTTCAATGAGGGTTTAATTCTCCCAGCCCCGCTAAACTTCTACATTCATTGAAGATCTTCAATAAGGGTTTCATTCTCCCCAGCCTCGTTAAACTTCTACATTCATTGAAGATCTTCAATGAAGGTTTAATTCTCCCACCCCGGTTAAACTTCTACATTCATTGACGATCTTCAATGAGGGTTTAATTCTCCCAGCCCCGTTAAACTTCTACATTCTACATTCATTGACGATCTTCAATGACGGTTTAATTCTCCCCAGCCCCGTTAAGCTTCTACACTCATTGATCTTCAATGAGGGTTTAATTCCTCCCAGCCCCGTTAAACTTCTACATTCATTGACGATCTTCAATGAGGGTTTAATTCTCCCAGCCCCGTTTAACTTCTACATTCATCGATCTTCAATGAGGGTTTAATTCTCCCCAGCCCTGTTAAACTTCTACATTCATCGAAGATTTTCAATGAGGGTTTAATTCTCCCAGCCCCGTTAAACTTCTACATTCATTGAAGATCTTCAATCAGGGTTTTAATTCGCCCCAGCCCCGTTAAACTTCTACATTCATTGAAGATCTTCAATGAGGGTTTAATTCTCCCACCCCCGTTAAACTTCTACATTCATTGACGATCTTCAATGAGGGTTTAATTAAACTTCTACATTCATTGACGATCTTCAATGACGGTTTAATTCTCCCCAGCCTCGTTAAATTTCTACAGTCATTGACGATCTTCAATGAGGGTTTAATTCCTCCCAGCCCCGTTAAACTTCTACATTCATTGACAATCATCTTCAATGAGGGTTCAATTCTCCCAGCCCCGTTAAACTTCTACATTCATTGACGATCTTCAATAAGGGTTTAATTCTCCCAGCCCCGTTAAACTTCTCTCAGCCGTGTGCACTCTTGCAGAAGGAAGCGTCGCAGCGCCAACAGCGTCGCAGCGTCTCTCCCGCGTCGCAGCGTCGCTCCAGCGTCGCAGCGTCGCAGCGTCGCAGCGTCGCTCCAGCGTCGCAGCTTCGCAGCGTCGCAGCGCCAACAGCGTCGCAGCGTGTATCCCGCGTCGCAGCGTCGCAGCGCCAACAGGCTCCCGCGTCGCAGCGTCACAGCGCCAACAGCGTCGCAGCGTCGCTCCAGCGTCGCAGCGTCGCAGCGTCGCAGCGCCAACAGCGTCGCAGCGTCACTGGCCCAACGGCAGCGTCGCAGCGCCACCCGCCCCCCAGAGCGTCGCAGCGTCGTAGCGCCACCCGCACCCGGGAGCGTCACAGCGCAACGTCGCAAACCCACGTTTCGGCCCCCTTTGCCCCTGCACTGCGATTTGCTTGGCCCAGCGCGACCCTTTCGCACGAAATGGACGTTGAACGTCAAAAACTGAAGTAAAATTGTGATTTTGATGTGTCCATCGCAACCCTTTCGCACGAAATGGACGTTGGACGTCAAAAACTGCGGTAAATTTGCGATTTTGGTGTCACGGGCAACCCTTTCGCACGAAATGGATGTCCAACACAGAGGAAAAATTGCGATTTTTGTTAGTCCATCGCAACCCTTTCGCACGAAATGGACGTTGGACGTCAAAAACTGAGGAAAAATTGCGATTTTATTCGGCCCATCGCGACCCTTTCGCACGAAATGGACGTTGAACGTCAAAAACTGAGGTAAAATTGGGGTTCCTGGTAAAATGCTCCACTGTGGTCCCTGGGTGAAGGGGTACGGCATGTAGCCGGGGGCTGGGTAGGCCACTGGCCAACCTAGCTATGGGGAACATGTGTTTTCATTTTACGGAAAGCTTCCCGGCCAGATCGAGCCCCAAAAAATAATTTTTGAATAAAGCTGTGCTATTGAAATTGATCGGAACAAACGGCTATGAAAATCAATTCTTGGGTTCTTGATAAAATGTTCCACTGTAGTCTCTGGAGGAAACGGGTACGGCCTGCAGCCACCAGTGGATAGGCCACTGGCTAGCCTAGCTATAGGGAACATGTGTTTTTTCAGTTCAGTTCACAGGGACTAAGTTGTTCAAAATCACCACCAAATGGCTTCCCGGCCAGATCGAGCCCGTGATTTTGAGCAACTTATCTATCTAAAATGAAAACACACGTGTTCCCCAAAGCTAGGTTAGCCAATCCCCCTTCCCCCAGGGACGACAATGGAGCATGTTACCACGAGCCCAAGCATTGATTATTTCATAACCGTTATTTCGATTAATTTCAATAGCACGGCTTTATTCAAAAATGCATTTTTGGGGCTCTATCTGGCCGGGAAACCATTTGGTGGTGATTTTGAGCAACTTAGTCCCCGTAAAATGAAAAAACACATTATCCGCATCGCTAGGTTAGCCAGTGGCCTATCCAGTGGTGGCTGCAGGCCGTATCCCCGTTTCCACCAGGGACCACAGTGGAGCATTTTACCAATCCAAGAATTGATTTTCATAGCCGTTATTTTTGATCAATTTCAATAGCACAACTCACGGCTCCATTCAAAAATGCATTTTGAAGCTCGATCTGGCCGGGAAGCCATTTGGTGGTGATTTTGAGCAATTCAGCCCTTGTAAAATGAAAAAAACATATGTTCCCCATAGCTAGGTTAGCCAGTGGCCTACCCAGCCCCCGGCTACATGCCGTACCCCCCTTCCCTCAGGGACCGCAGTGGAGGATTTTATTAGGAACCCAAGAATTGATTTTCATAGCCGTTATGTCGAGCCGTGCTTTTGACATTGATCAAAAATAAACGGCTATGAAAATCAATTCTTGGGTTCCTGGTAAAATGCTCCAGTGTGGTCCCTGGGGTAAGGGGGATACGGCCTGCAGCCTTCAGTGGATAGGCTACTGGCTAACCTAGCTATGGGGAACATGTGTTTTTCATTTTACAGGGACTAAGTTGCTCAAAATCACCACCAACAATCAATTTCCAACTTGAGATGTCATTGAACTAAGTGTGCAAAGGGGTCTCGCACCTGAGGTCATCCAGTGATGTATGGACAAGTTCGTGATTGAAGTTGTTCTATGAAAGGTTTGCTTGTGGGATTTTATTTCCTAACATAGGTATGTCATAACCAGATGTTTGGTTGACTTCACCCACATTCACAATATATACCATTGGATGAAAATTCAAGGCATTGGCACCAATGTGTGCCATGCAGGCTGCAAGGGCCACGTTAGCTACCTAAGATTCAAAAAAGAACAGAAGGAGAAAAAAAAAACACTTTATGGGGTGAGATGAAACCATCTGGAACAGAGTACAATAGCAATGCTAGGTATAGCTAATTTTTCGCCGATAGCCAGGTTAGTTGGCTTCCTTCTTTGTTGAAAACCTCGAGTGCTGTAAAATGATAACCAGGTTAGTGGGCTTCCTTCTATGTTGAACCTTGAGTGCTGTAAAATGATAGCCAGAATAGTGGGCTTCCTTCCATGTTGGAAACCTTGAATGCTGTAAAATGATAGCCAGGTTAGTGGGTTTCCTTCTATGTTGAACCTTGAGTGCTGTAAAATGATAGCCAGGTTAGTGGGCTTCCTTTCTTGTTGGAAACCTTGAATGCTGTAAAATGATAGCCAGGTTAGTGGGCTTCCTTCCATGTTGGAAACCTTGAGTGCTGTAAAATGATAGCCAGGTTAGTGGGCTTCCTTCTATGTTGAAAACCTTGAGACACAAAATGATAGCCAGGTTAGTTGGCTTTCCTTAGCCAGGGTCTCTGGGCAACATGCTGGTCTGTTCGAAAACGCATGGCATAGCTACGTTTGTTTACCGGAGAGTATGTCAAGTGTACCCCGACTTGCCAAGCAAAGATCAGCTTGGCAGTGGAAGTGAACGCTTATTTTCTGACTGCATGAAGTGGCAACTCTTCATGTCATGAGTGACTTTATGAAGGAAGAGTGTTCCGTATCACACTTCATCGTGCGCTGAATCGCCTGAAACACGAATTGGAACCGACTGGAACCGCGTTGATTTTCCTCAACTGAGTGCCACTCATGCTGCACCTCTCTGTACCAACTGGGTAGTCTGGCATCACTGCTGGGCGGGAGAAAGAAAAGGTCATGTCACAATGTCACCCTCGGATTAATAACCACCTGGGCCGTTCGGTTGTGCACGGTTTTAGTACCAAGTTATTACTAGTTGGGTGGTGGGCACCCCCTGATTTGTCAACCGAGGCTTATTAATCCAGGGTTGACATTACTCGTTTTGATCAATGATTTCCTGTAAGAGTAGTGCCAGCGTTTGATGACGAGAAAGAGGACCTTTCTTTTTCCCGGCAATTTCCCGGCGGGGTAGAGATGGGGCTGCCCGTCCACAAATGCTCTTATTTTTTTGAGATTTCAAGGGGCAAGTGTGGGAGAGTTTGACGTCAAGAACTCACGGGCAATTGTGGGCTGTCAGCAACGCATTTGTATATATATAGACTATATAGAGGCATGCCTCAGCAGGCTGCTCCGTCCTGTTGAACTTTGTACTTTGTTTGCAGTGCCTGCATGCACACCGCTGCGGCAATTTGCGCATGCTCCTGCCTGACTGGAGTTTGTCAATCCTTGGCGCGAAAACACACATGTCAAGGGCCTCGATCCTAGCTCCAGCCACTATGCTACATAGTCTTTGAAAAATGTGCCCGGGGCAGGGGGTGGTGATTGAGAGGAGAGGCTGAGTGCCATGCGAGCACACACCTTGCAACAGCTGTACCGTTGAAGTTCTCATTCTTGAAGTGTAGTGGGCTGTTGGATGTTTGGCCCGAGCCTAGCAAGTAGAGAACACAATCGTGCAGCTAAGCTCCTGACAATGCTGACTGAGCCGGTCACCAGTGTTGCCACTGGACCCACTGGACCAGCCCCTGTTGCTAGTGTTACCAGTGCCGCCCAGCCTGTGAGCACCACTGGGCCATACCGGCTGGTGTCCGGCACGCCATACCGAGTGGCAGCGCCGCCCGGTGTCACGTACAGCTACCCAGGTGGTTACACTGTCCCCTATCAAATCTCTGGAAGCCCTGCGCGGGTGGTCGCGGCGCCGATTGCTGCTCAAACCTCGCTTCCAGTCAGTTCCGCGGCAGTGAGCACCACCAAGTCGGAGATGGCCGCAGTTGCCACATTGCCACCACTCCAATCTGCACAAGCTATGCCAATTCCTCAGACGATCCCGGGGCCACTGCAGGTATCTACCTCTGTGGTGACTGGCCCCCCCATGATGACTGCGGCTGGTGGAACTCCCACATCCGTCCTCGCGGCGCCGTGCCAATCGCCCGTGGTGGGATCTGTTGGATCGCCCGTTTCCGCGGTGCCCTACTCTCTGCCGCAGGTGCAGGTGTCTCCTGCGACTCCCGTGGCAGATCCAGGACCGATGCTGGCAGAGATGGATGCAGCAGGGCCTGGGACATCGCATGAAGTGCAAAGCTCAACCCAAGCGCAACCGAACTTTCATGTCCCCGAAGCAGGGTCACAAGCTCCCCGGCAGGGAAGTTTTAGAACACTGTTGAACACTTGAGTGGCAGAAAACAATTTGCAGCACTTTTTGATAAATGATTTGCAGTTCCCGATTTGTGATATTCTCTGAGGCCAAAAAGCAGAAAAAGAAGGGGAAAAGCAAGAAGTGTGCCTGCTGCCAATGAGATCAAGATATATAGATCAAGGACTTTTGATTGGCTAGGCCCCCAGACAGCTTGGTAGCGAGGTAAATGGAAAAGCCGCACCAGCACAAGGTTGCTTGATGCCGCTATTCGTGACTGCTTCAATGATTTGCAAAGGGAGAAAATAATTTCTGAAGCGCTTGGTAGGTGGGATGACCATGAATGCGATAGTCTATGATGGTTGGATCATACTATGTGTGTGTGTGTGTGTGCATATACATGATATATACATATACGTATATACTATATACACATGTGCACATATATATATATATTTATACATATTACATTATTATTGTTTTGTTAACCACGCATGTGCACAATGTGTGCAGTCGATTTTTCCTCTCTCTCTCTCTCACTTGAACGCGGTGCCTTGAAAGAATGACATCAAGTGAGTGGTGTTTGCTAAGATGCTTGTGACTCCACTCTCCAGCATCTCTGTGTCAAGTTGGTAGCACTCCTGGTCGCCTCCATGGCTGCTTTGCCCACCACCACGGTGGGTGCACAGGTGTTGCAGCCAACCGCTTATCCTGGAACTGTGCCGACAGCTTATCCAGGAGTCTATTCAAGCGCTTTGCCAACAACAAATTGGATCCAGCCATCAGTCCCAGCTGGCACTCCAGTAGCAGGAACTCTACCTGTGGGTAGCTTGGCCCAGCCCCTGGCAGTTCCAATGCAAACTACGGTGGCCACACCTTTGCCAACCTCATCCATTCCAGTCAGTTCGTTGCCAACCACGATTGCACCAACAACCAAGACCTTCACATACACATTGCCAACAGGCACATATGCCCCTGGCTACTACCCAATGCCAATGCAAGGGTCCTCGCAACCCCTGGCCATGCCAATGCCAACTGTGCCATTGCAACCCCAAGCACCAGCAGCCATGCCAACGACAACCATGACCCAGACTTCACAGTCGCCTTCTGTGGTGGCTACACCGGTAAGTACCTCAATAGCTTCCCACTGTATGGGGACGCCTACCAACACCCCCGTGGCACCAGGTGCCGCAGGTGCCTTCGTCTCCGAGGTGGCCACTGAGTCCTTCGTGTTGGCGGGCCCGCCGACCACCACGGCTGGCTCACCTATGGCCACGGGGGTTCCAATGGTTCCAATGCTATCTATGGGATCCCGACCAGGGAACGCAGTTGCTGCTGCAGGCACAAGTGAAGGCGTCTGAGCTAAAAGTTGTGTGGCTTTTGGTGGATTTGATTGTTCTTACCCTGATTTTTTCCATCATTCCTTTTCAAAAACGTTTGAACGCATTTGAAACATCAAATAAAAGCAGTGGCAGTGGCACTGAAAATCAATTGACTTCGCATCTCTGCCTGACCAGCAGCCAGGTGTGGATGAGGCGACGGTGCAGACGCAATCTTTGAAGCCGCAGTCGTCGAGAAAGACCAAAAAGGCCAGGAGGAGATGGATTTGCTGCTGAGCTCCTGGCAGGAGGCGCTCAGCTGTCGAGTCGGTCAGTCGGTCCACATGCCGAAGGAGTGAAATCGTTTGAAAAACTATGAAATTTCGATATTGATTCATCAGATTCCCTGCCGATGCTGCTGGCAGCATTGGCAGCATCACCCCAGTTCAATGAAAGCAAGACAAACCTGGTGCAAAAAGAGCATGCGTGACTGCGTGACCTGAGATATTGCTGTCGATTCAGCCGAAGATGCACTCGAAGGTGTTACATCATGTTATATACATCCAGTGTCGCTCAATTGGGACTTGGGTCTCCTTGGGTCTCCCTTTTGTGGCTCAAGTGACTGAAGTGCGGACTTTTTTTGGAGCTTGCTGCTTGCCTGCCATAGTGCGAGCTTGTTTGCACTGTTTGCCTTCAGCCCTTGCAGTGGCAATACAATGCGTATTAATACAATTGTTAGATTTTTTTTTTGGGGGGATCACATCCCAGATGGGATTTCTGGAACCAAGAGCCAAGAAGAGTGCTGGAAGATCCTAGGTCCTAGTTGAACATCTGGAAGTCGATTTTGCAGCCGTGATATGCATAGCATGTCGAGAGGATGGCCGGTGGACTCGCTTGTCAGGTTGCACCTGGCGAGACGACCATGGATGAACCTTTGGATCTGGTGTGGAGTTCAGGGCCAGATTCATATTGCAGCTTGAAAGAACAGGCAATCAGGTAATGTAGCACTGTAGCAGCTCATCCGCAAAGCAGGTGCCAGAAATGACCCCCCAAGAAACGACTTTCGACACGGTGGTCTGGCTACTTTGCTTTCTGGACAAGTTGCCAGGATTCAACGGTGGGGTGGCATGCAGAGTTTCAGTTTCAATAGTTTTTCATATTTTTTTCATGATTTTTCCATGACCATGTTGGTCATGACATTTCTCAGTGCATCAGTCAGAGTAGCTACGGCTGCAACAGGTGTTGGCGCGATCTTCTCCCCTACGTGATCGCAGCAATGAAGCGCTCCCGGCTCCTGGGTGGAAGTTGAGATGAGACCAATTCTATGCTTCAGAATCGACTTGGTTGTGTGTTGGGAGTAGTTTGGGAGTAAGAATTTGGCATAACTTGACTTTTCTGGAAAGTCAAGGTGGAATCAGGTGGCAGATGTTGCTGTAAGGTGGAAGCCTACAAGACGCCAAAGAAGCGCCGCAGCTTGGGAGGGGAGGACGGGAAGATGGAACCACCGGTCAGCCGCATGAAGAAATTCGATATTAACATCAAGAATGGAAACTATGTAGGCTAAAATGTCAAAGAATGTCAAAGATGCCAAAGATGCTGGGATCATATTAGACTTGTGCGATCGGTGACCTATCGTTCGTCCCTTCCCCTTTATCTCCTACCTCTCTGTCTCTATGACTTGATCAGCAAAACTCCTCTGAAGCCAGCTTAGGTACCGCCAGAGGGCTGTGATGCCTATGCTTGACACGAGACAAAGACAAGACAATATACAGATGTGATACCCTTTGGTTAATCACGAAAGCTAGCGGTAGTTAGTTGGAGTTGCCTTTGCTTTAGCAAAGTATACTGACGAGCATATCACTCATCATATTCTCAGTAAACCCCGATAAATCCCCATTCAATCCCCATCAAATCCCATTGAATCCACATCAAATCCCATTGAATCCACATCAAATCCCATTGAATCCCCATCAAATCCCATTGAATCCACATCAAATCCCATTGAATCCACATCAAATCCCATTGAATCCCCATCAAATCCCATTGAATCCCATCAAATCCCATTGAATCCCCATCAAATCCCATTGAATCCCCATCAAATCCCATTGAATCCCCATCAAATCCCATTGAATCCCCATCAAATCCCATTGAATCCACATCAAATCCCATTGAATCCCCATCAAATCCCATTGAATCCCCATCAAATCCCATTGAATCCACATCAAATCCCATTGAATCCCCATCAAATCCCATTGAATCCCCATCAAATCCCATTGAATCCCCATCAAATCCCATTGAATCCCCATCAAATCCCATTGAATCCACATCAAATCCCATTGAATCCACATCAAATCCCATTGAATCCCCATCAAATCCCATTGAATCCCCATCAAATCCCATTGAATCCCCATCAAATCCCATTGAATCCCCATCAAATCCCATTGAATCCCCATCAAATCCCATTGAATCCCCATCAAATCCCATTGAATCCCCATCAAATCCCATTGAATCCCCATCAAATCCCATTGAATCCCCATCAAATCCCATTGAATCCCCATCAAATCCCATTGAATCCCCATCAAATCCCATTGAATCCCCATCAAATCCCATTGAATCCCCATCAAATCCCATTGAATCCCCATCAAATCCCATTGAATCCACATCAAATCCCATTGAATCCCCATCAAATCCCATTGAATCCACATCAAATCCCATTGAATCCCATTGAATCCCCATCAAATCCCATTGAATCCACATCAAATCCCATTGAATCCCCATCAAATCCCATTGAATCCACATCAAATCCCATTGAATCCCCATCAAATCCCATTGAATCCCCATCAAATCCCATTGAATCCCCATCAAATCCCATTGAATCCCCATCAAATCCCATTGAATCCCCATCAAATCCCATTGAATCCACATCAAATCCCATTGAATCCCCATCAAATCCCATTGAATCCACATCAAATCCCATTGAATCCCCATCAAATCCCATTGAATCCACATCAAATCCCATTGAATCCACATCAAATCCCATTGAATCCACATCAAATCCCATTGAATCCACATCAAATCCCATTGAATCCACATATTTCACCATATTTCACCATCTGCATCCAATTTTTTTTGGGTCAACCCCTGCAGGATGTTGGGCGTCGTCGCCCCAGCGCTGGCTCTCCACAAGAGGCAGATCCTAGGCGAGGCGTTTTTCAACCAGCCCCAAGTCATCAGCATTGTGATGGGTGGTATAAACCATATAGATTTTGATCCATGGGTGGTATAATCATCTATAGATTATAATCATAAACCATATGGGTGTATAGATCCATGGGGGTTTATGATTTTGCTTTACTAACATTACACTGAACATATTTACTATATTTACTTAGAGTTCATGAATACATTGAATACTGATCACACAGGTAGGATGATATACTATGATGATGGCATGACATTTCGTTCTCAAGTGTGATACGTTCAATTTTTCCGACGAGGCCTCTTGCTGACGCGGAGATGATGAGTTTCGCAGCGGTCTCAGAGTCGACACTGTGGATTGGGTGAAGAATTTGGTGCAGCATAACCAGAGGCACATCTTTTCTAGGCACCTATGATAATCTATGCCACATGCAATTCCATGCTCCATAATTACTGTCTATTCAGCTGTAATCTGAAGCCTCAAAAGCGAACTGGTGGGTTTCAGGATGAGATGCGCAAGCAGCCCAGCCCCCAGGAAATCCAGCGAAGCTCAGATTAGCTTCAAACTATCGAAACATATTCGTGGGCCTTCCCAAAATGGATGATTGGATGCCAAGTCTTTAAAACTTGGCCAGGTGGCAAGTGGCAAGTGTGTTGATTCATTTTGTGCGCCCCATGATTTGCCCAAAATATCAATATGGTCAGATGGTCCTGGATGGTGGTGGATTATTTGAGGATTTTGAGGGTCGTGCTGGGCGCTGTTCGCTCCCGGGGCTCCAGGTTAAGCTTGTGGCAGTCCCACTTGAGCGACCTCACCGCTGAGCACCGCGCATTCGAACAGCTGCGTCAGGACTTGGCCGAAACTTCTTGGGTTTTTCAGCGAACCTGGGTAAACCTTTTATAGGATATGATATGAATCCATGGATTATATGAATTATATGGGATTTGCATGGATTTGATATTCACAGTCGCTTCGCGACGAAAACCGCCCGCACCAAGTGTAATGGATTCGGGAAGTCTAAGGAGTTAGCTCCGTATGAGGCTATCTTGGCCCCATATGAGGGTATGTTGGCCCCATTTGAGGCTATGTTGGCCCCATGTGAGCCTATCTTAGGCTCATGTTGGGCCTATGTTGGGCCTATCTTGACCCATTTTTGGCCTATATTGGCCCAGATCAAGAATTTTGACCCCTTTTGAAAAACATGCAAAAACATAGGATTCTAGAGCAAAAGCCCCCCCCAAGCTAAAGCTTATTAGCTATAATGCAATTGCTAACGGTTCACGCAGGCACACAAAAAACGCCTCGGCACCTTCGGTGCGGGCGGATTTTTTGGGATTCTCTAAAGCATTTCTATGATTTTATAGGATTTGAATTGTGTCGCATGTGTTTTACAGCCTAATTTGTTGCCGTTTTCCCTTGGAGGAAATAGTGCGTAAATGGCTCAAAGTCAACTCTTGGCTCGGCATATGTCGCGCTATGATGTTTCCTTTGGCTTGAAGGGTTGGTTCACTTCATGGGGCCTCAATGTGCCGGTTGAGTTGTACAAAGGCCTCTATGGGATGATGGCCTCACACTGATATTTTCAGGGTTTGAAACCACCGGCCAGGCACATACGCCAAACGCCAAACGGCTCAATGCCGAGGTTCATAACCATTCCATATATATATATATATCCATATGCATCATATACATGCGCTGAAAAAAATCGGCAATTTTCAGACCGCCAGGGGATGGTCATACCGAAATCCTCTGGTGAATACCCATATGATCCCGGAGGCCTCACTTTTTTATCCAATGATGCCCCGACTCTTGAGGAATCCACATTCGTGATGGTGAAACCGGCTTTTTTTTGGGCACATCACCACTTTTTATTGTTGTGAACAACACTTCTTGATGCACAATCCCACTTTTCATTTTGGGAGAACCTCCAGAAAAAAGCCCACATTTTTGTTGGTTAAATCACCTACTCTTGATGAGGTTTCCAGGAATGGTCACATGTTTCCCAGGACACGTCCTGCCTGCGCAGCAAGCTGGTGAACTCTGAGGCAGAAGCCAGCGAACGGGCCAGGAGGCACCATGGATCACCGGTTCTTCGGGGATCTCTGGGGACTTCACCATTCTTTGGGGGGTTTTCCGCGGGTATCACCGGCACGAAGGGAGTAATGGGTTTGAGCATCAAGTAATGGGTTTATCTAAAAATGGGGTATGGTTTGACATGTTTAACCTGTTTAACCTGTTTAATCATCAAATACTCTTTGGGTTTGTCCATTTGAACGTGG